TTAATAATATGGGACGAGGCTTCTATGATTCCGAAAAAATCTCTAGAAATCGTTGATAGAACGTTGAGAGAGTTGTGTAATACAAAACTTTGCTTTGGTGATAAATTAATAGTGTTAGGAGGAGATTTTTGACAAATCCTTCCAGTTATGAGAAACGGTAATAGAACTATAATAATAGAAGAAACTATAAAATCATCATTTTTCTTTAAAATTTTAAGACAACAAAATAATATCCGTTCTAGTAATAACGAATTTTCAAAATTATTGTTAAGAATTGGAGAAGGGGACATAGAAACATTTAACATTCCTAAATCTTGGATAACAGATGATGTCTGTACCAAAATATTTGGTTATTACAGCAACTGTTTCGACAATAACGTGATACTCACTTCACATAATGAATATACTTTTTTTTTTAACAATAAGATTTTGAGTAAATTACATGTGGAAAATAAAACTTATTACAGCATCGATACTGCAACATATGAAATTGTTGATAAATCAGTTGATAATATTTATATAAATTTTCCCGTAGAAATGTTAAACAACATTCGTGAAGGCTTGCCACCTTATGAACTTAAATTAAAAATAGGTACAATAGTAATGTTCATTCGAAATTTGAGTATATCAGACGGATTGTGTAACGGTACACGATTGCGAATTACTAAATTACTGAAGTATAACGTAGAAGGCGAAATAGTAACGTGAGAAAAAATTGGTAATAAAGTTTTCATTCCAAGAATTACATTAAATACTGGAAATACTTCATCATTACCTTTTATTTTATATAGAAAGCAATTCCCCTAGACAATTATCCTACAGAAACGATTTTGAATAAGCTTTCGCATTTCGTAGATCAAATGGTTTTTCTCCTATTTTTTCCTTCAGGAGATTTAGGGTGGAGTACAGGTTACTTCAAAAGTTATTCTAAATCAAACAAAAAACTTTTTGTTTTGCAATATTACGCAAATAGATTGTCCTACAGACCAGATGATAAAAATTTTAGTCCCTTATTATACGGATGAAAGTTAACTCAACAATTTTTCATACATTCATACATTATGATTGAGCATAATCGTTTAAATTATTTGAGATACAATCAAAAAAATTTAAGAATAGAGTGTTACGAAGGATTATTAGATGCGATAGCTAACAGTGCATCAAATTTATCTAAAAATTTTGAAACAGAGGAAAAAATAGGAAATCTTTATA